GAAAAGTAAGTGCATGGTTCAAAAGTTATTTAGAGAACAGAGACCAGTATGTGGCAATAAAAAGTCACTCCTCAACAAAACTTAACGTAAGATCAGGCGTGCCACAAGGATCAATTTTAGGTCCTCTTCTATTCATAATCTTCATGAACGATTTTCAACATGCAATTGATGCAAATCACCTTCTATATGCAGATGACACTAACATCTTCTTCCCAACTAAAGACCCATTGAAAGAAGTAGAATACATCAATAACAGTCTTCAAAATATATCAACCTGGTTTATCAAAAATAAATTAATAGTAAATTATTCTAAATGTAATTATATTATTTTTGGTCCGAAAATTTTAACAAATATTATACCTAACCTAAACATAAAAATGAACAATATTTCTATTCCTCGCTCAACCAGCACAAAATTCCTTGGAGTAACAATCAAGGACAATTTTTCTTGGGATATTCACATAGATACTATGTCTAAAAGAATATGCAAAACCCTAGGAGTTATAAGCAAAATCAAAAATAAATTAAATAAACCTACTCTAATTGACCTGTATTATTCGTTAATCTTTCCTCACCTCATCTACTGCAACGTAATTTGGGGAAACAGTCCTGACATTCATCTGAAACAGTTAACAAAATGCCAAAACCGATTCATCAGAATATTTAAAAATCTTCATCTTCATTGTCACACAAGTGAACATTATCTCGAGATGAAAATACTCAACATCAAAAACTTGTTCATCTACCACGTTGCAACATTCATTTTTAGATTTCTACGTCAGCAATTGCCGGCATTTTTTAGAGACTTTTTCACTTTTGGAACTTCTATTCAAGCAAGAACTACACGCCACACGCCACTTTTCTATGCTCCACCAGCCAGAATTAAAGTACTCTGCATGAGTTTGAAACACACCGGCCCAGGAATATGGGAGACGATTCCACAAGAAATTAAAGATTGTAACACTTTGCATCTTTTTAAAAATAAACTGAAAAATTTTTTAATTACAAAAAGTTCTGTTTTTAAAGAATAATAATTTATATGTATATATATGTTTATAAGTGTGTACATATTTCATTAACATTGATACATTTTCTCCTATTGACAATTTTATTTTATCATTGAGAAGCTATTTTGAGCTGCACGGTGGCCGAGCCCACAAGAATTAATTTTCTTTTTTTGGTCTCCGAATCATTCATGCTTTTTGTTTTGTTTGATTGAATAAAAGTGATTTGATTTGAAAAAAAAATATAGCGTAGTGTAGCATAGAGTAGCGTATAATTTTAAACAATAGGGAAGAATCAATATTTCTTATCATTTGCATCTTTCTATTTTTCATGTTTACCTTCCGTAATCGTTTGTCAATAAATAATTTGTATACCACTTCTAAAAAAATGTGAATTTTTTATGGAAATTAAACATTTGCAATGTATTGTTGGGCAACTACCATGCATAAAAAACATTCGTACAGTGGAACTTTGCTGCAACAAACATCGCTGCAAAGTATACTCGGTGAAAAAATAAATAATAATAATAATAATAATAATAAATACCAACAGTATAACAAACAGAGATAATTGTAATAGCAATGCAATAACACGATTTTACCTTCACAAAATTATTTTAAAATCCTTGCAAATTTCGTTACCGCAAAAATTGACCCCAATTGTCTTTTATTGGCGTTATTACTTACTGGAAGTAATATTATTATTGCTAGCAAGATTACCACCATTTGGAGAATTGGACAAATTCAAAAAATCGATATTCGTGGTATCCAGATCAACTCAGTAAAAAACCTTAAAATCCTTCACTGGCTCTCACTCAAATTTTGGATCCAATTTAAAATTTTTACAATAACATTCAAGACACTTGCAAGACCACAGCCAATTTACTTAAAAAATCTAATCGCCATCAAAGAATCCCTGTCCGTGAAGAATGATGGAAAAGCCATCCTAACTGTCCCTCCAACGATTCCCACGTTCTCGCCTTCAAAAAAAAGCATAAAAAAAAAATTAAGTACTTTTATTCATGTTAATAAATTATTTATTTCCGCTCTTTTTTATCGCGATTTTGTGTTATCAACTTTTTTCAAACCTACGTAAAATAGAGTGTTGGGACATTGTGTACGTTTTATGATATTTTGAAATTTATGGAGAATTAGCAGTATGTCCAGTCCACATTGTGAATTAGCGTTTATAAAATGTTGTGAGTGTGTTTCGATACATTGGAGATTTGAATTTTTAAAAATTTAAGTAGATCACAAATATAATTAATAACGTACCTAATATTAAATTACTTTTTTGAAGGATTTTGTCATGAAGGCTCAGTAAGTAAACGGTAAAACGTTTTTAAATTTTTGAATGTGGGATTTCCGTAAATTTCATTAAATTGATAATTTAAACGTCATTCATCCGGATAACAACAGTTAAATTTTATGCGAGCTTGTAAAAATTAGAAAGGGCACGTAAATTGGTATTTCTTTTCAACCAAATTTCTAACATTTTAACATTTATTTCTTTGTTAACCGATTCTTTGTAATAAAATTATTGAGCTCACTTGTACACATACTTATTCGGGGTAGTCGTAAATTTTGAAACAGTTCTTTGTTGGTAAAATAAGAAAATCTTTGTATTTATTGTTGTAAAACTTTTGGTTAATTGGATATATAAGTCGGAAGTTTTCATTAGAAAGTAAGATTTTCAGGATTTAATATTGATATAGCAATTATTATTATACATTCAAAGTTGTTAAACATTGTGATATTAAATGTGGACAGCTTAGATAGAGAAAACAGCTTTAATGAAGTTTTGGAAAAAGAAATGAAGGAGTTTTTGGATCACAAGAAGCTCAGCCGAAAATTGTTCAAGCTTGATACATTTAACAGGTTCATGGATCAAAACAAAAATAAGTATCCACTTTCAAAATTCGACATTGAAAATATCCCAAAAGTCATTGTTTCCATCAAAGATGGAAACAAGTTCGGTACTGACAAATGGTTTGGCATACCATCCCTTTCAGAATGACAATTTAATTAAGGATATGCAAGACTGTTATTATGAAGCTCTTGTCGAACGATTTGGCAAAATAAGTTTTTCCAAATGTGATAATTCCACAAAGTCCGATGACGGAGAGAAATTGCTCATAATGATTAATAACCACAAGGATTTGAACAGCACTGCGTTGGCGGAAAAACGGTTTTACGCAGTCCCCTACTTTGATCACATGTTCGAAAATCGTACTTGTACAATATGCTGTGAACAATTTATTGACAACAAATTGGTATTAGAGTTGAATTGTAAACATGCATTCCATTTCAGTTGCATTTGTAAAAGGTTGAAGATTAAGAGTCAGTGTCCGCATTGTGAAGAGTCTATTGTCTTCCACCGCAGAACAGAATATGAGAAAATGTTCAAATTATGGCTACAATTATGTTGACATGTCCCTCATTACTCTGCCTAGATATATTTGATCATCAGTTTAAACACATACTTTAATAAGTTATTTACTAAATAATAATCATTTCTTCAAATATAAAAAAAATATAGTTGTCGTATTCATTAATGTTAAATTATAATATCTTTTTTAATTTTATTTTTTCAATTAATGCTTAGTTATAACTTGTTAATTATTGCAGAGCCGATTTTAAATTAAAAGAACTATTTCCAATTTTTAATAGATCACAAATATAATGAATGATGTTAATAATTTTAATTTACTTTTTGAGGAAGTTTGTCATGAAGGCTCAGTGAGTAAAGGGCAATCCCTTAAAATAAAGCTTTCCTATTATTATTTTCATTGAGATAAACATCATTGCCATTCAATCATCATCATTGTTGCTCAAGCTTTTGTCGTTATTGTTAACGCAATCAGTAATACAAACAAACGAAACTGATATAATTTTATCTCCAACTTATTCTCAAAATCATTATTTCAACATCATCATCTCAATATCAACATCTCAACATCATCATCTCAACGTCATCATCATTATTCATCACC